TGTGTGTGTGTGTGTGTGTGTGTGTGTGTGCGTGCGTGCATGCGTGCCTGCGTCCAGACAGCTGTCAAGTGTGTATATTCGTATGTGGGAGAACACAAGGAGCTGATGTTGGTACAAAGGATAAATCACAAGGAGACAACATGAGTGTGTGTGTGTGTGTGTGTGTGTGTGTGTGAAGGTATCTAGAAACCATGTTGAGTTAATTTCATTGTAGCATGCAGGGACATACACAACTGCCTCGAGGAGGAGAGGCAGTTACTATCAATGTGTAGTGGCACATAGGTATGATAGCAGTGTAAGGATGATAACTCCGTATTAGTTCAACAGGACATATACACTTTCTATTTTCTTGATATGACCGATTTAACTTCACCGTGTAGGTACACTCGCAGCTACCAGCACTATGTGGGGACGTAGGGCACTGGGGTTGATCTAAATGCAATTCTAGTTTATTTTAATTGAGTTTAGCTAGTATGGTCATATCTTACATTTATTTATTTGATTTTTTTTAGTTTGATGTAGGCCATTATCACAAATATACAAGATCTGCCGTTGTGATATGCCAGTAAGTCTTTCGTCTGTGTCTTCCTCAAAGACACATTAAACTTTAAAAACACAAATTTACAAACAAAATAAAGGAAAACTCTCTCTCAGTCAAGTGGAGACAATATAAGATGGTCAATTAAGAGCAGATCTTGGATACTGATGATTCATGCTGTCCAGAAGCTTCTACCTGCGTCCTCCTTACCTGTAGTTTATAGATTGCATGCCCGCTTTTGGATTTTCACTGTCGTAGCGTTGAATTCTCTGTGCCAGGTTCTCAAAGATACGTGCTTTATTTTTTATTTAATTGGGTCTAAGGAAGAGCATCTAAACACGGTAGATTCTAAAGGCGATCTCGACATTATTCTGGCCACCACTGTCTTGTCGTGTCTTGTTTCAGCCAGTCAGATATTTTCTTAAAAACCCAGTTACTACCAGAATAAAGTTTGCTGACGAATCTTTAAGTTTCCTGGTCCTGGTTCTTTGAAATTACTTTGTACTGTACTTGTGGAAGTAGATATTGTGTCTCGCCTCTTGTTGGCCTCGCGATGTACTGTAGCTCTTAGACTTGTATGACAGTATAACATTACTTTGTGACAATTTGTCACTGTGTAGTTAAATGTAACAGCTGGTGTTGTAGGGTGACAGTGTAGATCATTAAGTTGAAAGTGTCAGTGGTGATGAGATTATGACGACGCCCTACGTGAACAGTGACGCCAACAATACGCCTGTTTGTTTTAAGCAACTTGTCCTAAGGATCACAGCTGTCGTGCATCAAGACATTGTAATCCATGACTTGTGTGCGTGACATTATGACAACTGCTTCAGGTGACTGTATAATGAGTGTGTGTGTTTCACTGGACTGTAAAGGATGTATCAGAGTATTATGACAGCTAGTTCTTATGAATGTAGCACATACGTCGTGCGACTGTCATTGGGATGTCAAGCGATTGACAGGTGTGTAATGAAACTGCAACTTAAGTGTCAGCAGAATATGACCTTGTGCAATGAAACTATGACAGATGAGTTAGGAGAATGCAACTTACCTATTAGAACAGTGTTGGCACATCTGAGAGGTAGTGTAGGTACAGCTATTATAAGCATAAACCTGTGTTGGGGTAATATGATCCCGAGTGTGTGTGTGTGTGTGTGGGTGTGTGTGTGTGGGGAGGAATGATGCGAGTGTTGAGCATCGATGGTTCGGTGGATGTAGGTGTAAGGGACTTAAAATGACATGAATCTACAGAGAATGAAAGAAGTTAATAAATAAGGAAGGAAAGATAGTGTAGATAATACATACTGTGAGGTGTGAAATGCAGGACGACTGGAGTAGGGGGTAGAGAAAGGGAGCTGTGTAGGGACGGCATACTTATGTACCATGTTGACGTATCGTCGGTGGTGGTAGGCGCTCAATCTGCTGGAGGGACAGCTGCCTGAAGGGGACGACGTAGAGGACGACACCTTCTTGCAGCGTCGCCGGCGCCGCTCATCAGCGTGGGGAGCAGCTAACGGGGCACAAACACCCGAAGATACCAACACTCTCACCCCCACCGACACGCCCCGCTCACTGGCTGAAGACGACGAAGAAGTGGCCACAACCCCGGTGCTGCCTCACGTTATCTCTTGCTGCTCTCCTCGTGCAATGCTCGATGTAGCACCAACACCGCCCACACCGCCTTCACCGCTCACATTTTCTAAACTGCCCATACCCGCCACGACCCACATTTGCCGCATCAAACATTACCTTAAAGTCACAGATTATATGCGTTCAGTGCGTCCTGGCGGGCCTAAATGACCATTAAATAAAGAATTAACAGGATGATAGTGTGCAATAAATAGAACCAATTTAAGCATCTTTGATATTGTGCGTTGTATGTAGCGGGAAGTACGACCAGCTGTGTACACCATCACCTCCTCCCCCCCCTTCCGCCTCAGCTTTGTGTGTTGGTGTACTGTTGTTGTTCCTCATTATCTAAACGTTTTCAGCAAGTAAATAACTGTAGGGTCACACTGAGCCTGGTTTGAGCCTAAGACACTCTGGCTTGAAGTACAAATCTCGAGGCCGCTTATGCAATGAAGTCAAGTGTGATCGACGGCCTTGAGGTGTGTTGTGATTCTTTTATTTTCATGCAAGGAACACACCACAATGAACCAGAGTTATGCCTCATCATCATTAATACCGCACGCATGATTCAGCTACCGTCATGCCATGTTTACAGAGCAAATATCCCAGCATTCAGTAAGTGTCGTAAGATGTCAACTTTGAGGTCACTTGTGACGAACTAAATGTATGACTTATTAAATTAATTATTTTAAACCACTTAACAGGTATCAGAATAAACCCCCGCATGTCTCACACGTGTTGTTCAGTATTGTGTCACCTCATGTAGTTAATGTATGCTTGATAAATAAATACCAGTATATATATATATATATATATATATATATATATATATATATATATATATATATATATATATATATATATATATATATACAGTATGTATGTAAACATGTATTTTCGAAGATACATATATACGTACATAATAAATAATAAAAGATAAATCAGTACAGTTGTTGTTTTTAACAGAGATAGTTTGTGTGTTACTGTTATGACCACCAGTTAAGAGTCCGCCAGGGTGATGCTTGCATGAGCTGTTTCGTGTTTGGTATTTGTTGTGTCAGAGAACCACGGTGATGACTCCTAGTAATAAGTAGTTAAATGTTAGATAAGTAAAATTGTTTCTCCTATTATAAGTTTAGAAATTAACGTAGAGATTCTCAGTTTCTTAACTGGAATGTAGTACTATTATTATTCCCCAAGTGAAAAATATGTAACTCTTTGATGTAAGAACAACTGATAATAATTATGTAGAACAATATTGGGAATAGGTTTAACAGCACATTACTCAAAGCAAAAAAAATAATGTATGAATTGCACGTAGACAGTTGTACCAGCAGGAAGCTCTTGTAGAACACTGGGGAGGAAGTCATTGTAGAACACTGGGGAGGGAGTCATTGTAGAACACTGGGGAGGAAGTTATTGTAGAACACTGGGGAGGAAGTCTTTGTAGAACACTGGGGAGGAAGTCATTGTAGAACACTGGGGAGGGAGTCATTGTATAACACTGGGGAGGAAGTCATTGTAGAACACTGGGGAGGAAGTCATTGTAGAACACTGGGGAGGGAGTCATTGTAGAACACTTGGGAGAAAGTCATTGTAGAACACTGGGGAGGGAGTCATTGTATAACACTGGGGAGGAAGTCATTGTAGAACACTTGGGAGGGAGTCATTGTAGAACACTTGGGAGGAAGTCATTGTAGAACACTGGGGAGGGAGTCATTGTAGAACATTGGGGAGGGAGTCATTGTTGAACATTTGGGAGGGAGTCATTGTAAAACACTGGGGAGGAAGTCATTGTAGAACACTGGGGAGGAAGTCATTGTAGAACACTGGGGAAGGGTCATTGTTGAACACTTGGAGGAGGAGAGAGTCATTGTAGAACACTTGGAGGGAGTCATTGCAGACACTGGGAGGGAATCATTGTAGAATTTGGAAGAGTCATTGTGGGACACTGGGAGGAGTCATTGTAGAACACTGGGGAGGGAGTCATTGTAGAACACTGGGGAGGGAGTCATTGTTGAACATTGGAGGAGGAGTCATTGTAGAACACTGGGGAGGGAGTCATTGTAAACACTGGGGAGGGTTATCATTGGAGGAGAAGTCATTGTAGAACACTGGAAGGGAGTCATTGCAGACACTGGGGAGGGAGTCATTGTTGAACACTGGGGAGTATCATCATTGTAGAACACTGGGAGGTCATTGTAGAACACTGGGGAGAGTCATTGTCATTGAGGAGGGAGTCATTGTAGAACACTGGGGAGGGAGTCATTTTTTATCATTGGAGGAGGGAGTCATTGTAGAACACTGGGGAGGGAGTCATTTTTTATCATTGGAGGAGGGAGTCATTGTAGAACACTGGGGAGGGAGTCATTGTAGAACACTGGGGAGGGAGTCATTGTTGAACACTGGGGAGGGAGTCATTGTAGAACACTGGGGAGGGAGTCATTGTAGAACACTGGGGAGAGAGTCATTGTAGAACACTGGGGAGGGAGTCATTGTTGATCATTGGAGGAGGGAGTCATTGTAGAACACTTGGAAGGGAGTCATTGTAGAACACTTGGAAGGGAGTCATTGTAGGACACTGGGGAGAAAGTCATTGTAGAACGCTGGACCAGAAGGGATCACAGTCAAGGTGATCCTACAGACGACATACAGTAGACCACAGCTGTGGAGACCATTAACGGGTGAACCAAATAAATACATGTTCCAAAACTGGATGTCGTAAGAGGGTTTGCTTCAAGTTTGTTTTTGTCTCACGCGAAATCAAGTTTTATTAAAAGATAGGATGCCTGTCTTCTCGATCTCATTGGAGTATGTGTGTATGTGTATACAGGCGACGAAGGTGATGGAAGGGCTCTTACCCGAGGAGCAGGCGCAGCAACATCACGGCAGGCGAGAACCTGACCCAGACACCGACGAAGTGCAGGAGGTGAGTAGTGTTTAAAGATGCTATAAAGGGATATAATGTTGATCAACACACATTATACTGTAGGTGTTGCGGTAAAGATAATACTATATATATATAAATAAATAATATACAAGCCTTAAACATCCACAGACTCAACAAGCACCCATCCAGGACCACGTACACCGACTCTTCGTCTTCTCGATGATGTGGAGTGTTGGGGCACTCCTGGAACTGCCTGACCGGGCCAAGCTGGAGGAGCACATATTCTCTGATTACACGCACCTTGACCTGCCACCCAAAGGTTCCAGTGGCAACGAGTCTATGTTCGATTACCGGGTCGACGACAATGGTACACCAGGTTATTCTTAGTTCTCCTCTTGCTTCTCTTTCTCAACCTCATTTTCCGTTCCTCTCTTCCTGTTGTCCTTCTTTCCATCCCCATTTTTAATTTCTTTCCTTCTCTTTTTCTCCCTCGTTCCGAATTCTCTAACTCTCATTTACCTCCTCTCCTAATTCTTTAACTCTTCTTTTCCTCCCCGTCCTTAATTCTTCCCCCCCCCCCACCTCTCTTAATTCTGTTACTCTCTCTCCTTCCCTCCTGTTTCCCCACTTGTCCCTCACACCTTGTAATAGTGGATGATAGATTATGGCTGCTCACACCTCTTATTTAGTGTTTACACCCTGGCCGTGTGATGATTACATACACATGTGTTTCCCACACATGAATTCCGACACATAGAGTATGTAAAGCACTGTATAGCCGTAAATATAGATAGAGAATATTTTGACGTGAAAAGGATATCAATTGCGCTGTTTACCTGAGAATTTTTTACAAAACCAATGAAACCTAACCTAACCAAACCTAACCTAACCAAACCTAACCTTACCCAACCTAACCTAACCTAACCTAACCTTCGTAACTGAAATCTTTGAGCTTCAATTAATGATCTTAGGTTGTATTTTCGTAAGTTAACGTAGTTTGCTTAGATGTGATATGCTCGATTCGTCTTGATTTTTAATAGAACCTCACAGCAAAGTTTAATTTACGTGATGAAATTAATATTTTACGATGTAAGACAAGATTTTCCAGTCTCTCTATTCTTCAGGATACTGGCAACACTGGGAGACTAGAGTGACTGAGTTTGTGTATCCAGACATTGGCACCCCTGATTACACCTCTTTCCTCGTCCCCAACGTCGACAATGTCAGGATGGATTTCCTTATTCACATCGTCGCCCAGCAAGGAAAGGTGAGGAAATAGGCCTGTACAAAGAGGGATTCGGCATTTCAGTGATAGAGATAATCTCAGTGTACTTCATACCTACAGTACAGTACATAAGAACAAAAAGAATAAAAAAAAAAAAACTGCAGTGAGCTTATTTGTCCATACAAGGCAACTAACTCTGTTTATACCCAACCCATTGTAGCTCGTATATCTGCCCAGCCTATACTTGCAGTTTTCCACCGATTTCGAGTTAATGGAGGTTGTGCTAACTTGTTCTACTCATCCACAACTCTAATTCCAGGCCATGGTTTGCCTCAATCCCACCTAAATATAAATAAGTCTAATTTAAAACCATTGTTACGTGTTCCCTCCTGATTTGACATACTGTATTAAGACCTTAGTTTACACATTTAACTCCAACACTCACTTATACACACACCAATCATATCTACCCTCACTCTACGTTTCTTAAGAGAATGCAAATTTAGTTTTTTTAATCTGTCTTTTATTCAAGGTTTCTTATTCCCGGGTTTTGCTTTATCATCCTCTTCTGAATGCTTGTCCTTCTCCTTTGAATATTCAGTGATGTGCTTTTACGAGTGAACCGACCTGCCGCCTTTGCAAACAATGATCAGCTTTCATCAAATACACCCATGCACTTCAATGAATACAATGATGCATTCTCATTAATATAATGATGTACTCTCATGAATACTGATATAACTCTCATTTATACACTGATGCGCACTCATTAATGCTGATACACTCATAAATCATTGATACATTTTCAATAACTAACGCACTTATAAATACTGATATAACTCTCATAAATACACTTAATGCACACTTGTGGTTGTGAGATTGTATGTGAGTAAAAACGCCTGGTATTGTTGTAGGCCGTGCTGCTGTTAGGTGAGCCGGGGTCAGCCAAGACGGTGACCATCAACGCCTTCATGAAGAAGTACAACCCGGAGGACCACTTATGTAGGAACTTCAACTTCTCCTCGGCCTCCACGCCTCTCTACTTCCAGGTAAGGTATTAGGTACTGGTGAGACCCATGGAGTAGAGTTTGTGAGAGTGATAGTGTAAGAGTGTGAGAGTGTTAGTGTAAGAGTGTGAGTGTTAGTGTAAGAGTGTGATTGTGAGAGTGATAGTGTAAGAGTGTGATTGTGAGAGTGATAGTGTAAGAGTGTGATTGTGAGAGTAAGATTGGGATAGTGAGAACGATAAAGAATGTTAAACTGTGAGTAAGAGAGAGAACATGATAGAGAGAAAAAAGAACGAGAGAGACATAGAGAGAATTAAAGAGAGAGTGAGTGTGAGTTAACGTCAGTGAAAGAGCGAGAGTGAGTGAGAGAACTGGAAGGAGTGACAGAGCTATAGTGCGTTTTTTCCCAGCTGAGAAGAAATGCCCCGCCCCCTCCTCAAGAGTTACAGCTGATTGGCTGTTTCTAATCTGTTCTATTTTGTTCTGAAGTAATGATGTATTTCTAAATGAGTTTATTCATAATCGTTGGGATGACTATTCAGGACGAGAAAGAATTTTAGCAAAATTATATAAAGATACATACTTTTATTATTTCAAACATGAGCACGAAGGAAGTTTATCAGAAATCTTTTATATCTGAAGTAACTGTTTAACTTTGGTAGCAAATTCACGCTTTTAGAGGACGCATTTAATATATATATATATATATATATATATATATATATATATATATATATATATATATATATATATATATATATATATATATATATATACTTATTTTTACCAACAATAAGGCATACTAACACAAATTACGTATCAGTAAAACTACATTATGCAAAAACTAACATTTTAAAAGATCAAAATCAAATTGAAATATGTCAGCAGAGGCGGGAAATATGACTGCGAACACCTTCATATTTCCTGCCTCTGCTGATGGCTGTGTAATAATACATGCATGCATATACATGCAGACATACATAAAGACACATACATACATACATACATACATACATACATACATACATACATACATACATGAAGAATTTTCTTTCAGTCTGACAAGTGTTCTTTGATGACCGTTCTTGTTGATTCATCAATACTGTACCATCCTTTTCATAAAAAAGATATTAATATTTAAATATTGGAAGAAAAATATAGTTAGATCTTTCTCCAACGTTGAAGCTTGGCGATGGAAGCACGAACTGTATCTGTACGAGTGATAAGATTAGATTCTCCACCCTGGAGCTTCGAGCTGATTTTGTTCAATTGGCCAAACACATCAACGAAATAGTCTTTGTTTCAAGCTTTGTATTCTGAAGACATAATCTGAATGTCTTCAAAATTATGCATCCATGGTATATGTAGTTTAGTAAGGTTAACTCACCATGCTTGCTTTCAACCCGTGGGCCTCCTAAATTAAGACAGTCCGTAAAGAGTGTGGATTATTACGGTCAAGGTTTACATGGCGTTCCTAACTGAACTGGTTCGTTATTGATGATTCTGATAATGATAACCTCAGCTAAGACGAAGTAGATATACTCTCTCGGGAACCCCTTTGTCTTTGTTGATTAATAATAATAACGGTGTGTATATCTTATTATGAACGAGTATTCTTGAAAGCACGATCCAACTTATTACATTATATTGTCTACCAATTTAGATATGCTGTTTTATCAAAGTGTTCTTTTGAGATAGGAAATGAAACCACTAAATCATACCTAACCTGCCTAACTAATTTAAATCGAACATGTTCTAAGATCGCTAAGATGGAATAATTAAGTGGGTGAGGTTAGGTTGGTAAGTCATGTTAGGAAGCTTTGTTAGGTTTGCAAGGTTAGGCCAATATAGGTTTGGTTGGATAGGTTAGGTTAGGTTGGTGTCATGTGTTTTATAACAACCTATTCACTACAATTATAACCATCAATGCTTAATAACCATGTATCGATGAACTGAGATGAGACGTGGTATTCGGGTACTTGACAGAGGACCATCGAGAGTTATGTGGACAAGAGGATGGGCAGCACCTTCGGGCCTCCGGCAGGGAAGAAAATGACAGTGTTTGTGGACGACCTCAACATGCCCCACATCAACGACTGGGGTGACCAGGTGAGCTGAACAACCTAGTAGATACTGGTTTCTTTCTCTTAATAAACAAGCCAGTAGACATTGTTTAACTTTTTGGTGCAACATCAGTGGAGGTAAGACTGAATATATCTAAATTATAAATTTATTGTTGTAATTTAATTCTTATATTCAATTATTTCATTTCCCGATGTTGTGTTTAATTTTTAACCAATTATCAGTTTGCTCCATCCTCCTCAGCCTACTAACGAGATTGTGCGTCAGACAATGGAGATGGGTGGGTTCTACAGCCTGGAGAAGCCAGGGGACTTTACTTATGTTGTAGACTTGCAATTTTTGGCAGCAATGGGACACCCTGGTGAGTACGAGTGTCGGGGGTGTGTACAGGAGCCATCCAAAACTTACATAGGTGTTAGTCTATTATTAAAAAAAATATTATGTTAATAAGAGTACTTTGGCAGAGAGAATACTTTCGTTATTCCAATACATATGTTTGGTACTGAATGCTCATTGCAGGTGGCGGACGTAACGACATCCCCTCGCGTCTGAAGCGCCACTTCTGCATCTTCAACTCGACCATCCCCTCAGAGAATTCCATCAACAAGATCTTCGGTGTGATAGCTCGAGGACACTTCAGCAGCAAGCGAGGCTTTACCCAGGAGGTGCGCGACATGGTGGAGAACCTTGTGCCGCTCACCAGGAAGCTCTGGGCACATACTAAGGTCAGTCCTTCCCCGTGGAGAGAACTGATTTAGACCTTAAAATGAACAAAACAAGTTTCATTTTAAGTTCCTCAGAGCAACAAACTGTCTAATGTCTTAATACAGCAATCCAGTTTATTATTTCCTCTAGTATATGTACCATCGAAGCAAGCATTCTGTACAACAAACCAGTACCAGTCTAAAATCATCTGTACAACAAGCCAATACTACCTAAATGGAATAAGATTGTAGATACTCTCATTTCCGGAGTACATCAAGCTAGTAAAAACAAACAGCCAGTGAGTGACGGTGAATTTATGTACCCCACAGAACAAGTTGCTGCCTACACCAGCCAAGTTTCACTATGTGTTCAACCTACGTGACCTGTCGCGTATATGGCAGGGGATGCTGGGAGCCGCTGCCAACGTAATTACCTCCTCCGACTCCCTCCTGGCCTTATGGCGCCACGAGTGTTGTAGGGTCATAGCTGACAGGTGGGTGTTGTATGGTTATAGCTGACAGGTGGGTGTTGTATGGTTATAGCTGACAGGTAGGTGTTGTATGGTTATAGCTGACAGGTGGGTGTTGTATGGTTATAGTTGACAGGTGGATGTTGTATGGTTATAGCTGACAGGTGGATGTTGTATTGTTATAGGTGACAGGTAGGTGTTGTATGGTTATAGCTGACAGGTGGGTGTTGTATGGTTATAGCTGACAGGTGGGTGTTGTATGGTTATAGCTGACAGGTAGGTGTTGTATGGTTATAGCTGACAGGTGGGTGTTGTATGGTTATAGTTGACAGGTGGGTGTTGTATGGTTATAGCTGCCAGGTGGGTGTTGTATGGTTATAGCTGACAGGTAGGTGTTGTATGGTTATAGCTGACAGGTGGGTGTTGTATGGTTATAGTTGACAGGTGGATGTTGTATGGTTATAGCTGACAGGTGGATGTTGTATTGTTATAGGTGACAGGTAGGTGTTGTATGGTTATAGCTGGGTGTTGTGGCGGTTATAGCGACAGGTGGGTGTTGTATGGTTATAGCTGACAGGTAGGTGTGTTTATAGCGACAGGTGGTGTTGTGGTGGTTATAGCGATGGTGGGTGTTGTGGCGGTTATAGCTGACAGGTGGGTGTTGTATGGTTATAGCTGACAGGTGGGTGTTGTATGGTTATAGCTGACAGGTGGGTGTTGTATGGTTATAGCTGACAGGTGGGTGTTGTATGGTTATAGCTGACAGGTGGGTGTTGTATCGTTATAGCTGACAGGTGGGTGTTGTATGGTTATAGCTGACAGGTGGGTGTTGCATCAGGTCTAATGCATACAACGGAGATGACTCTTTCTCTCACAGGTTCACATCACCCAAGGATGTTAAATGGTTCGAGGACGCTCTGGTTAATGTGGCCCAGCAGGAGCTCGGGATGCGCTTCACCAAACTTATCAACACCACCCACTACTTCGTCGACTTTCTCAGGTCGGTCTTTGGTGGAATGATTTTCTTATTTTCAGCTTCTTATTTCAAAGTATTTTATTATAAATATTTCCTTGGGCTAAAATTTGTGTAATATTTGTTTTTTGTATTATGATAATCTCTACATTGAGGCTCGATTTCAAGAAGTAGTTTAACCCCTTGAGAGCTAATATTGGTCGTCTACAGATTCAGCCATTTTCATCTGTGAGTTTCACTTTCTTTCTCAGAAAGTAAAATTATCTTCTGAGAGTTAAAATATTTTCCGCTGAGAGTTAAATCATCGTCCTCTGAGGTTAAGCTATTGCCTCTAAAGGAACCTGGGGTGGTGTGCTATACGGCTTACGTCATTCTTAGCAAAGTGTTTGTAAAGGAGGTAGAGAGAGAGAGAGAGAGAGAGAGAGAGAGAGAGAGAGAGAGAGAGAGAGAGATACTGAGAGAGGGAGATACTGAGAGAGAGAGATACTGAGAGAGATGAGTTTCAGGGATGCCCCAGAACCCACCGGGGACGAGGGCGAGGACCTGGACATGGAGATGCCTAAGGTGTATGAGCCCATCCCCTCCTTCAGCGCCCTCGAGGACCGCCTGCAGATGTTCCTCTCACAGTACAACGAGATGGTCAGGGGTGCCGGCATGGACCTCGTTTTCTTCACTGATGCTATGATCCACCTCACTCGGGTAGGTACAGTATTATTGATTAGCCAAGTCGTGTTGACATATTGTTCTTACTAGTGATTTTCACCCCATGTAAGATTCCCCATGACATCATCCAGGTGAGTTATCTCAGTAATCTTGTATTCTTCCACCATAAAAGATTCCCCGTGACAAAGTTGCCTAGAAATTATCGAGAATTAACTTTTATCGTTGACATGAGGATAATTAGCGTTTTAGATATTCTGTTCTCTTTCTTAATTGAAAGTAGCCAGTATTCTGGCTGCTGTTTATTGCTGTCAGGTTGTATTTTGAAGTAAGTATGACAGGATATTTTGACATACGACTTACGATGTGTAGTTGTGACCTTTCACTATGGCAATAACACTGTTAGGTTGTAACATAGTACTGTGGTACCTGATAGTGTTGTAACATGGTATCAACAGTGTACCTGTGTAGTGTTTTAACATGGTACTGTTTGTTACCTGATAATACTGTAACATGGTATCAACAGTGTACCTGTGTAGTGTTTTAACATGGTACTGTTTGTTACCTGATAATACCGTAACATGGTAGCGACTGTATTTAGTACCTGTTTAATGTTGAAACATGGTAACGTTTGGTACCTGGTTACATTTTAACATGGTTCTGTATGGTACCTGGTATTGTTGTAATATGGTGGTAATATTATAGTGAGTTGAATCAGATATTATGGTCAGGTTGTTATAACACTTTAAAGTTATGGCCACTTGTAGTTAGTCACTTAATTATTTGAAGCCACTAAGTGGATCTGCTTGTCACTACGTACCAGACTGCTGGGCACCATGCAAAGGTGACCGTCGTTTCTGCTATGGGGTGTTTGTAATACATACAATATGGTGCTATAGTCTGCTATACATATAACATATTTTCAGCCCCCTCCCCCCCTCCCGACCCGACTTTATTCAGTACAGTATTCAGATAATATATTACACGAGGTCCTGTCCTGGTGTGTTACAGACAGATAAAAACATGCATTTTCATATTATTATATAATAATATTTTCATGCTAATTTTCAGTATAAACAAATGCATCCATTACTTATTGGGTCATAAAAGTCGTAAAAGGACACGATATTTAGCCTCTAGGTCATCCCCTATCAACCCTAGATTTGGTGAATGTTTCGGAATTCACGAATCGATACTCAAGGAGTTCACATCTCCTGGGTAGGGTGGGCAGACAACCCTGAGTGTACCTCGCAGAAAAGTCCCCAACTGCACATGGTGGTATTGTGAAATAGTACTAACAATAAATGGTACCTGGTAGTGCTGTAACTTAGTACTGACACTGTGCGGTGTTCACAGATCTCCCGCATCATTCGTAACCCAGGAGGTAACGCCCTGCTGGTGGGTGTTGGCGGCTCCGGCAAGCAGTCACTCACTAAGCTCGCCTCTTTCATCGCCGGCTACAAGACCTTCCAAATCGCCCTCACCAGGTAGATCATACTTAATAAAGTTTAAGGAAAGGTAAAAAAAAAAGTCCGGAACTTAAAATACTGTTGAAAATGTCTGTAATTCTGATTTTATGAATTTATATTGACATTTTGACCCAAGAGCTTAGCTACACTGTTTCTGTGGTAAGAAAATTCAGTCAGTCAGGTTTAGGTCCTACACTATAATTAACTTGTCTGAACAAAAGATGTATCTGTCGTAATCTATTTGAACAGTTAAATTCTGAACCTCTAACTTTTAGGTCCTATAATACGACAAACCTGCTAGAAGACCTGAAGGTGTTGTACAGGACGTGTGGGATCCAAGGGAAGGGCACGACATTCATCTTCACGGATCAGGAGGTGAAGGAGGAGGCTTTCCTAGAGTACCTCAACAACGTATTATCATCAGGTGAGTGATCCAGGTGCTGGTGAATCCCACAGTGGGCGGATCCTGCCGCCAATGGATCCTGCTGCTAGTGGATCCTGTTGCTAGTGGATCCTGTTACTGGAGTATCCTGCTGCTTTTGGTAGGACAAAATAACATTCAACTTGGTATGATAGAATTTCCGCTTGATGTACTCTCCTGGTGCCCTTACCTGTCACTCTCCCTGACCAATTTCTGCTGCATATCACATATCGTTGTGTATATTGTCAAGTTTAACACAATTTCCTGGATATACAGAACTGATGTTTCTCCAGAAAATTTAATTTAGTTCTTAAGATGTTGAGAAGTCTGTATACAGACGGTTTTGGAGGCAGTGAGTAGTCTGTATAGAGACAGTTTGGGATGTATTGAGAATTCTGCAACATTGGAGAAAAAATCTTCATTGTCAATCTTGGAGGTACAGTACATGTACAGTATTAAGAACATTATGGTCGGGTCTGAAGGTGTCCAGTAATATGTCCAGTTATTTTTTTAAGTAAACATGACTACACATTTAGATATGACAGTTGTGAGGACAATTTAAATATATATCCGAAATTCATGACTGACGAGGTGTGTTAGGGAGATATATGTTTAAACACATCACATTTTTGTATAGACCTAGTTGTTTACATTCAAGTGTTTAAAGACTGCATGTCAATGATTTTTAGCCGCATAAATATAACAAAAGCCTTCTTCACACATATGCACAAGCACGTTCATAGATACACTATAAACCTAATTTTTTGCACACACACACACACACACACACACACACACACACACACACACACACACACACACACACACACACACACACGCACGCACGCACACACACGCACGCACACACACAGACACTTCGTCTTCAGCCTCCATGAGATGAGGACATTATAGGTGCTGTTCTGCTGACGCCTCCATGGTCTTTTGGACCATGGATGTGGTCTGCCACCCCTCCACCTTTCCCCATCTCCTCTTCCCCTCAAGAATTTATCAACATGTTTCCATCAACAGTACAGTTCAAAAATTGACGATCAACCCACACTTGATAAGTAAATCGACAATTTCAACTCAAAGGAAATGGAAATAAGTGTATAGAGTCAATGCCCTGTGATCAGTGGTCACGGACTACCAGTATAAAGCCCTCACCACCCAGGGGAGAAATATGAAGTTCCAACTTCACCAGGAGAGAAACGAGGACTCTCAACTCCATCAGAGGAGAAACGAGGACTCTCAACTCCATCAGAGGAGAAACGAGGACTCTCAACTCCATCAGAGGAGAAACGAGGACTCTCAACTCCACCAGAGGAGAAACGAAGACTCTCAACTCCATCAGAGGAGAAACGAGGACTCTCAACTCCATCAGAGGAGAAACGAGGACTCTCAACTCCACCAGAGGAGAAACGAAGACTCTCAACTCCACCAGAGGAGAAACGAGGACTCTCAACTTCACCAGAGGAGAAACGAAGACTCTCAACTCCATCAGAGGAGAAACGAGGACTCTCAACTCCACCAGAGGAGAAACGAAGACTCTCAACTCCATCAGAGGAGAAACGAGGACTCTCAACTCCACCAGAGGAGAAACGAAGACTCTCAACTCCATCAGAGGAGAAACGAGGACTCTCAACTCCATCAGAGGAGAAACGAGGACTCTCAACTCCACCAGAGGAGAAACGAAGACTCTCAACTCCATCAGAGGAGAAACGAGGACTCTCAACTCCACCAGGAGAGAAACGAGGACTCTCAACTCCATCAGAGGAGAAACGAGTACTCTCAACTCCATCAGAGGAGAAACGAGGACTCTCAACTCCATCAGAGGAAAGCGAGGACTCTCAACTCCTCAGAGGAGAGCGAGACTCTCAACTCCATCAGAGGAGAAACGAGGCTCTCAACTCCATCAGAGGAAGCAGGGACTCTCAACTCCATCAGAGGAGAAACAAGGACTCAACTCCATCAGAGGAAACGCAACTCATCAGGGAAAACGAGACTCTCAACTCCATCAGAGGAGAAACGAGGGACTCAAGCTCCATCAGAGGTGAAACAAATCAGAGGTGAAACTCAACTCCATCAGAGGTGAAACGAGGACTCTCAACTCCATCAGAGGAGAAACGAGGACTCTCAACTCCATCAGAGGAGAAACGAGGACTCTCAACTCCATCAGAGGAGAAACGAGGACTCTCAACTCCATCAGAGGAGAAACGAAGACTCTCAACTCCATCAGAGGAGAAACGAGGACTCTCAACTCCATCAGAGGAGAAACGAGGACTCTCAACTCCATCAGAGGAGAAACGAAGACTCTCAACTCCATCAGAGGAGAAACGAGGATTCTCAACTTCACCAGAGGAGAAACGAAGACTCTCAACTCCATCAGAGGAGAAACGAGGACTCTCAACTTCACCAGAGGAGAAACGAGGACTCTCAACTCCATCAGAGGAGAAACGAGGACTCTCAACTTCACCAGAGGAGAAACGAGGACTCTCAACTCCATCAGAGGAGAAACGAAGACTCTCAACTTCACCAGAGGAGAAACGAGGATTCTCAACTCCATCGGAGGTGAAACGAGGACTCTCAACTCCATCAGAGGAGAAACGAGGACTCTCAACTCCATCAGAGGAGAAACAAGAACCATCTCCAACACCATGTAAGCTGAGACACCTCGGCCACCAGGAGCACGCGATTGCTGTGTAAATATGTGTAGACTGTAACCAGCCGGAGAAGACTGCACCAATGTGTGAAACCTCCTATATCTAGGGAAGACGTCATTATAAACTCACAAGACAGTTTACAAAACCGGCGTCCCTGTCAACACTGAGATTACTTCCATATCTACAGTTAATTTGTATGTCTACTCCATGTACTTCTCTTTTTTTTTTTTACTGAAGGTTTTCATCAATCAAGTGACCCACTCCCCAATTTCACCATGTATAACTTTTATCATCTCTGATTATTGTATATATTCAACCTTTAGTCCTCCGTGCTCTTTCAGTAAACCATTAATTATCTTTACTAATAATACTACTATTAGAAAGATTAAAAATTCTAGACAATTTACCCTAGAGGTTCTGGGTAATATGCATTTTGTTTTTCTTTTTGTTGAATAACACGGACAGTTTAAGATTTGGAGATGGCAAAAGTTGTGTCTGTGTAAACAAGTGTGGTCTTCTTTAGGTATGGTGAGCAACCTGTTCAACCGGGACGAGCAAGGCGAGATCGTGAGCGAGCTGATCCCCATCATGAAGAGGGAACACCCGCGCCGCCCTCCTACCCCTGAGAACGTCATGGATTTCTTCCTCGCGCGCACCCGCCAGAACCTGCACGTCGTCCTCTGCTTCTCCCCCGTCAGTTTTTCCTTCGTTATATAAGACACTTGTCCCTAAATACTTGTACTCTGGACCAAATGTCCACATGAACAAATTTATACACACCGACTTCAATTGTAACTTTAAGTTCCAGTAAGTGAAGTGCTCCCTCCTTTCACGTTAAGAAATGTCCCTAGCATTTTTCGGTTTATATCACAAGATTACTTTAATCTAATAATATCAGTTTGATAATACAGTAATGTGTTTACTTAGAAATTAAGAAAAATAATATTTCAGCTACATTACGGTAGTCTAAGATTCCTGGTGAGCCAATAATATTAGAGGTAATTAACATCAGTATAGCGGTTCATATCCATCATGGGAGATGCCGCATCATCCACTCCTCTTAGAGTAAAACTGGCAAAACAAAGCAACCAAACCTAATCTAACCTCTCTAATGTTACTTAGTGTAAATATGTTCAGGGAGACAATTAGGTTAGATTAAGTAACATTTGCTTAGCCTGTTTTGCGTTTTGTATAATTTTCACCAAAAGATTAAATTTGGGAAATCCAAATTTCAAGACGGTTAAAAGACAAAACCTTGTTATGATATTTGTAGAAGAAAACCAGCGAATAGGTCACAGAGCAACTACGATAATGACATTCTTAATAACCTTACTGCAATTAATTAAGGCCTCCAACACCATCAGGTGGGTGAAAAATTCCGAAGTCGTGCCATGAAGTTCCCGGGGCTGATCAGCGGGTGTACCATTGACTGGTTCCAGCCGTGGCCGAAGGAGGCGCTGGTAGCCGTGGCTCAGCATTTCCTTGACGACTATGAGATCATCAGCACGGCGGAGGTGAAAACCAGCCTGGTGAAGGGCATGGGCACCATCCACGATCACGTAGCCCAGCTCTGTAGCGACTACTTCCAGAGGTTAGTAGTCCTGTGACAAGTACGACGCATACCATATAATATCCCTGTTTCTTATTTTTGTATGCCCTGTATTAAAAAGGTACAAGTTATACAGTAGATATTTTGATACCCACTCGTTCTCCCGTGCCTAAAATATTTTTGAGTTAAAGCATGAGGTCAGTCGAGATTATGTTGACAAGAAACTACCGATACTTTATTAAGAAACTAAATAGTGAGGCCCAAATAAGAACTGTGAATAAGATAACCCGCTCAAGAATTGTGAAGCATTTGAAAAGAGATCAGAATTTGTTCTTTTAACGAATGGTATCTGTAAAATGTTTTGTGAAATACAAAACTCAGGAGAGTAGCACCAAAAAACTCGTACACTGTAAAAAAAATGGGCATTGAGACAAAAATGGGTATACCTATATTGCAAAATTTCTCTTAATATTTGAAATAACCTATTTTGGGGGGACATCATAGGGTATATTGCTCTCGATAATACTCTTTAAGTTGCAAGTGGTTCATAATTATCTTGCATTATCCCCTGCAGACCATTTTTTTTCTGCCTCTAGATCTCTTCAAATCATTCTTTATGAAATTCTTGGAATTGTCTATTCTAAACTTTATTATACTTAACATTGTCAGTCTTCCTCTAACAATAATGAAAATCTGTTCTCAGTTTCATTTTCGTATTCTATCCTGCTCCTGATTCGTGTGTCTTAGTGTAACGAAGGTAATAAGACAAGTGTTAGGTGTAATTTAATATGACAAAAGGTGTCTGGTGCATCTTAACATGACAAGGTAATAAAACAGGTGTTTGTTGTGTGCAGGTACCGACGCGCTGCTCACGTCACCCCCAAGTCCTTCCTCTCGTTCATCAGTATTTACAAGAAGATATACAACGAGAAACGGGAGGAGATCGGGGAGTCGGCTGTTAGGATGACCTCGGGCCTGGACAAGCTGCAGGAGGCGTCGATAGCGGTGGAGAGACTCAGAGAAGAGCTCTTCGTCATGGAGGAAGAATTGGCTGTCGCTTCCGAGAAAGCACAGAAGGTTCGCAAATCATCATCTTCCCATATTGTTGGTCTACATTAGTAAGCCTCCATCCCACCCTGTTCAATGCAATTTCTCTCCTTTAATAAATTACCTTTTCTTTGTATGAATATTATATTCACGTAGGAAAGTTTGGTTCTTTCTCTCTTTTTATTTCTTTAATTCAATACTCTTAATCTTCCTTCTATTAGCTTACACTCTAAGTATTTCTTTACATTATTATCATTTAGTTACTTGTACTCTCTTATACTGACTCGCTCATTTGTTACTGGGGGAACTCCTTATTGTTAGTATATTATTTAGGGGACATTTAAAGAGATATCTAAGCATCTTGATTTATTCAAAGGACATAGCACGAGGTTACAGGTCTTATCCCTATTACAAACTAGATACCGTGGGAAGCTTCACATATACCCGCACGATCAAAGAGGATAATACTCACCAAGTTTATGCCACTGCCCTAAATGTTGCATGAACACTCGCCTTGGGTATCCTGCCTACATCCTCGGCACACCCTAAACCAACTGACTGCCCAAAGCTAACAATTGCTTTGTAGCCGTATGGAGTATGTTTTGACTGTTCAATCATTTATTTTCTTTTAAATATCCCAGGCACTCTCGTCTGAGTGGTCATCCTATAGTATGGTGGGGAGGGGGGCATCCTATGGGCAGTTTTATCTCCCCTACTCCCTTGGCACTTCCAGAAGGGCATTGCTGCTTGAGAGGCACTTGTAAATACACAGGATCCCGCAAATCAACTTTAAGGTTCCCCTCGTAACGGTGGGCAAGTAATCCTCATGGGCAGGCTGAAGCAGCTATGGTGTGTGGTCGTCCCTTCGATTAAATTAATTTCTCTATATCCATTATGCTTCCTTCCCATTTAACTTTGTCATTCTCCTTCCATATGGATTCAGATCTGTTCTTGTGTTAAATATTTCCTCATCAGCTGGACAGGTTATCATGCAGACTCACAAAGATGGTAAAGGAAATAATATTCAAATTACACTTAAGATTCTGCCTTAAATGGCTACATTCTTTTTTTTTTTTCTGGAGGAGGAAAATTAAGTTTAAAAACATTTGGTAATCCGGTCTTAGGTTAAACGCTTGTTTATTGAGGAAGGTAGGTCTTGTCTTCTGAGGAAGGGAGGTCTTGTCTGCTGAGGAAGGGAGGTCTTGTCTGCTGAGGAAGAGAGGTCTTGTCTGCTAAGGAAGAGAGGTCTTGTCTGCTGAGGAAGAGAGGTCTTGCCTGCTGAGGAAGAGATGTCTTGTCGTCTGCTGAGGAAGCGCGGTCTTGTCTGCTGAAGAAGGAAGGTCTGTCTGCTGCGGAAGGAAGGTCTTGACTGCTGAAGAAGGGAGGTCTTGTCTACTGAGGAAGGGGGGTTTTGTCTGCTGAAGAAGGAAGGTCTGTCTACTGAGGAAGGGAGGTCTTGACTGGTGAAGAAGGGAGGTCTTGTCTGCTGAGGAAGAGAGGTCTTGTCTGCTGAGGACGGGAGGTCTTTTCTGTTGAGGAAAGGGGACGGGAGGTCTTGACTGCTGAGGAAGGGAGGTCTTGACTGCTGAGAAAGGGAGGTCTTGTTCGTGAAGGAAAGATCTTATTTGGTGAGGGAGGAAGGCCTTTTACCGGTAACAATACTATGTACTCCCGTGTAAGGTATTAATGTATACTTGTCATAAAAACAATGTTAACAGTGGAAGGAACATCAACACTACTTATGTTATCCTTCAGATCTTGGAAGAAGTCACTCGTCGCGCTGAGGAATCCGAGACGATCAAGGAGGAGGTGGAGAAGGTCCGCGACAAGGCTCAAGCACTTGTCAACGACATCGCCAAAGATAAATCCCTGGCGGAGGAGAAACTGGAGGCCGCCCGCCCTGCCCTGGAGGAGGCAGAGGCTGCCCTCAACACCATCAAGCCTGCACATATTGGTGAGTCATTCCACATGCGTGAGGATTTTTACATCATCGTTCACAAGAGGTTAAGTCCTGGTCCTCAATGGACCCAGATAAGATTTAAATCATGGTCCTTAAAGAGTTGAATCATAGTCCTTAAAAGGTTCAGTCATGATGTTTAAAGGGTTAAATGATTGCATCAAATGGTTAAATCTTTATCCTGAAAGGGTAAAGTCATCGTACTCAAAGGGTAAAATTACGGAATTTAATGGGTGAGAATTTAAGAAATTATATCTTCCTTGGCTGCTTATCTTATTACCTAAATTAAATCTGTTTAAATAACTTAGTTGCTGAAATATATTAAAACTATTTTAGAACAACAGTAACCCACCCAAATTTCTGTTCAAAATCGTCTTTCTCTGTTGTCCAAATCTATTTCAGCCATGAAAACTAATGTATCATAATACTGGAGAATAAAAGAGAACAAAAAGAGCACCTCCGAAATCCGTACGTTTTTTTGGGGTGCCGTTACCTCATCTACTCTAGCTGGGTCAGGGTGGTGGTGGCTTGGCGTCAAGCACCAGTTGCTGTTCAGCACTTATCGCAGCTAGACGTCCGGGCATTACTCGGGCATTACTCGGTGATTTTTTTGCTTTTTCTGTGGTTTGTCGCTTGAATATACAGTTGAAAATGTCGAAGAGGCCTGCTGGAACCCATATGGGTAACAGTGAAAAGAAAAAAAGGAAGCATGTATGCTTATCCATAGCTCAAAAAAGTTGAGTTATTGCAAGAACTTGTTCGTAGTGTAAGTGTGAGGAGACTCACGAAGGAGTTTGGAGTCTGAACGACCACCATTAATGACCTGAAGAAACAAAAAGACACGTTGTTAAAGTCGTATGCTTAAAGTGATGAGCAGAAGCTTATGAAAAATATAAAAACATTGTATAAGGCGAAAAATAAAGATTTTGATCGTGTTTGGAAAGAGTGAATTCGTGAGCATATGCCGCTTAACGGTATGCTGATCATGAAACAAGCAAAGATTTATCATGAACTTAAAATTGAAGGTAACTGCGAATATTCACAAATAACCTTTTATTGTTAATCAAACGACGGCAACGTAGGTGGAAACTGGAAGCCTGTCGTTATGTGTATGTGGTACAGGTATGCTGCTTCATTACGAAGGCTGTACACATTTATTTCATTAATTATGTCCGTGGTAGAGGATACACTGACTAGGGTATATGACATAATTTTTACTAGGTTAAGTATGTACTTGTAATAAATTAATGAATGAAGATAAGACACAAACTGCGCTATGGTAAATTTCAGGGGCAGTTACAGATAGGCCTACGATGGTGGTAGCTTACCTTCTGATGGTTCAATGTGCATCTTTTCTTATTGTTTCATGAACAAAATGATTTAAAATATTGCATTAAACTAAACTACCTGCAGGCTATATGTATCCATATTCGGTAAATGAGATATACATAAATTTCGTGCTGAGACTCGGGCACAGTCCCCTCTGGGTGAGGTTAGTTAGTTAGTTACAAGACTTGAGAGGTTATCCTAATTCTATATCATGCGCTTGTGAGACCTCACTTGGATTACGCAGTTCAGTTCTGGTCACCGTACTACAGAATGGATATAGAATCCCTAGAAGGAATACAGAGGAGAATGGCAAGACTAATCCCGGGCATAATAAACCTTGAGTACAGAGACAGGTTAAAGCATTCTAATTTGCACTCCCTCGAGAGACGTAAAGTGAAGGGCGATATGATCTAGGTTTGTAAATGGAAGTCAGGGCTAAACAAAGGGGACATTACAAAGGTACTCAAACTATCCAACCAGGAGCGAACTCGCAACAGTGGTTTTAAATTAGACAAATTTAGATTTCGGCGCGAATGAGGTAAACAGTGGTTTTGAAATAGAGTAGTGGATGAGTGGAACAAGTTACCAAACATCATCATTAACTCGAGTACGCTGGATAGCTTCAAACATAGGTTGGATGGATATATGAACGATGGGGGTTGGGTGTAAATGGGACTGCCCAGTATGGGCCAATAAACCCGCTGCAGTTTCCTCCATTCTTATGTTCTTATGTGCCTGTACCCCATTATACTGGTATACAGTGTACAGGTTCCCCAAAACCCGGAGGAAAAAAAAACTGAATCCGAGTCTCATTCGGCCCCAAGGATTTCGGGTATGGGATTCTCAACCTGGGTACCCCTAATACTACTAATTGCAAGCTGGTGCCATTGTTAACTTTGTACAATATTTCAGCCACGATTCGTAAGTTGGGTCGACCGCCACACCTCATCATGCGCATCATGGACTGTGTCTTGATACTGTTCCAGCGACACCTTCAGCCAGTGAGGCCAGACCCCATCGCTGCCTGCCCAAAACCCTCCTGGCCTGAGAGTCTCAAGGTAATTTTTATCTATTAGCCTAGTGACTTTGTAACTGTATTTCAAATAAAGAGGAACTGAGCCAAGCATTTCTATTCCTCGACTTGCAGTGTGAAGATCTTTTTGTTTTACCTAAATTTTCTCGAAAGTGCCTTGATTGTCTTAAAAAAAATATATGAATTAATATAATTCTCAAATAATGATTGAGGTCGATAACCATCGGGAACCTCTTGCAAACAAACTTTAAACCATGCAACATATCATGTTATTTGCAACAAAGGTTAATGACATAGCAAGTATGATAGTGGCTCAAAGTGTACAGGTCAGTCAAGGAAATATGGTGTAGTAGACAGTTTTGTGGTAAGCACAGTTGTCTGAACAAGGGTACTGGCATTATTTGTATTTATTTATTTTTACTGAAGCCAAGGAAGTGTGAGGATGTTTGTAAACACAGATAGCATGTAGATTAGGCCCTCAAAGCTCCCACCTAAAGTTTCGTCATATTTGCTTCACCCACCTGAAGTTAAAGTACCTTAACGCTACCTGGGTGCCTAATCTTCATGTATTATTACAATAATAAACAACAAATTAAAGTATTATAACACAGGATATTGAAAAGTAATATATTGTGTACATTAAGTTAATCATAATAATACGATTACAAAGTACAAAAGAATGAACAGTAAGCTCATGAAACATTATTCCATTGGATATTGTAAACTAATATGGTTGCCAGATTATTTAAACTCCTTATAATAAAAATGATCGTGTCACATAATTGGTTGTAGGTAAGAATTTATATTCCCATTTACAGATGTGTATCGTCTTATAGGGTTTTACATATTCATTTTCTTTAATCAATTAACAACTGACAAGAGATCCTCACACAACAAAGGTAGCACGACAGTGTGGAGGTATTGCACACCGTGGTCTACACTCTACAACTATCTGACTGAATAATGAGGTGACGTCTCTCTTTTTGTATAATAACATGTGCCACCTCCTGGGGTGCGTAATGATCACCTTTCAGTGTACCTCAGTTCCCATCTGAAGATTTGTCACCCTAGCTTAAGCTATCTGAAATTTAACCACCCTGATGCTACCCGGGTGTTTAATCTTCATGAGAACAGTAACAACACGCATCTGATCCCCTGTATTCCCCAGATGATGGCGAGCACGACCTTCCTGCTGTCGCTGCAGAACTTCCCGAAGGACACCATCAACGACGAGATAGTGGAGCTGCTGGAACCTTTTTTTGACATGGAAGACTACGACATGGACACGGCCAAGCGGGTGTGTGGCGACGTGGCCGGCCTCCTCTCTTGGACACGTGCCATGGCCGTCTTCTTCGGCGTCAATAAGGAAGTTCTGCCGCTCAAGGTACAGTAATGCCTCTCTGCCTTATACCAATAACTAGAATATTGTGTTCTTTGTAATCCGACAGCTTTAAAGGCAAGACCATTAATGTTTTATCACCTGGCATAGTTCACTGATAAACTGATATGTGATGGAACTGAGGATAATAATGGTAACAGAAACAATACACAATATGTGCGATTACACATACACTCGTGAACTAACCTACCACATGTTTGTGTGTGTCTGTGGGGCAGTCGAACCTGGCGCTGCAGGAGGCAAGGCTGCGGCTGGCTATGGGGGACCTAGAGAGAGCACAGGCGGAGCTGGATGACAAGCAGCGGGAGTTGGACGTGGTGCGAGGTCAGTACCAGACAGCGCTCGCAGAGAAACAGAAGCTGATCGATGCCGCCAACGTGTGTCGCAGGAAGATGCAAGCAGCCGCTACACTCATCAATGGTCTTGCCGGGGAGAAGGTTCGCTGGACCAAGCAGAGTAAAGCCTTCAAACAACAGCTTGGCAGGTGTGTGTGTGTGTATATAATTTTAATTAGCTGTTTAATGGGAGAACATGGCCGACAAAAGGCTAAAATTATACAACAAACAGAAATGATAAAAGTTACACAATTAGGGAGTGAGCCACTTCCTTGACAAAAGCTCTCGGTACAGAAAAGAAAAAAAAGAGAACAAAAAAGTCATCTTTACTAGATCTGGAAGTATTCACAGTGGCTAAAGGCCGTGTGTGTGTGTGTGTGTGTGTGTGTGTGTGTGTGTGTGTGTGTGTGTGTGTGTGTGTGTGTGTGTGTGTGTGTTGTAAATGAAGTGCATTTATGTTTGTTTGCATGTTTTTAAATGCTTATCTTTATTTGCTGCTTGTTAGCACCTGATACCTCCTCAACCACAAGGTTTGGACTGGCAATTTGTCATTCCACAATGTATTCCCAATATTAACCTGTGTAGTATGTAGCTATATACGCAACAATACCTGGCCAGCAAATAAAAGAATGGTAGTTAAGGAAATGAGGGTACAGCACACTAAATGCAGTTTGATTGTAACTGCACTCTACATCCTTCACTTCCTAGCTTTAAATCTGGGTACCCATTCACAGCTGGGTACACTTGGGTGTCCAGATGCGAGCTGCCAGCCTTTTAGGAAATGAAACAAATGCTGTGTCTTCTCGGCCACCACACTGCAAAATAAGAAAAATCATTTATTACCGCACATTCCTAATGCGGTAACATTTCTGCATATACTCGTATGAATATCTTAGTTGGTGTGTTGGCGTTGCTGAAAAAAAAAGGTTAGTATTGTTAGCTTAGCTCAGATTAGGTAACCTTGCAGGAATTTAGATTTGATGAGACTGGGTCAAATAAAGTTGGATTAATTTAAGTTAGATTGCTGTACGTAAGAGTTTAAATAGGTTAAGCTTTGGTTCAGGTCAAGACGATGACGAAGCTGAAATGTGATTTGCCAGGTTGGTGGGAGACGTCCTGGTGACGACGGCGTTCCTGTCATATGCGGGGCCCTTCAACCAGGAGTATCGCACCAAGATGACCAAGGCGTGGCGTTCCCTCTTCAACTCACGCAACATCCCCTACACTCGCGATCTCGACGTGACCACCTGGCTCATTGACAACGCCACTGTACGTTGTGCCTCATATACGTCCTGTGCCAAAATATAGACAATATTCTCCTACTCTTACACTTTAAACAGTGATACTCCTGCACTGCTAAAGACTTCATTCTTTACATATTGTTCATCAACTGACACACGGACCTCCAATTCGAACATTTGACAGGGCCCGCCTCCAAAGTTTGTTGTACTGTAACTATGGCCTATTGCAGAACTTCAACAAACCTCTACTCCCAAATTTTAACTTGACCCCACGGTAAAGTTTAAACATCCTTCTTTCCAAACATCAGACAGGCGCATACTCCAATCTTTACATGATATGCTTCCAAATTAAGACAGACTTTAACTCTAAAATTATTACAGGTAACACTTCCAAACTTACTCCCTGTTTTGAAACTGTGCAGGTGACAGAGTGGAACCTCCAGGGACTCCCCAACGACGAGCTCAGTATCCAGAACGGCCTCATTGTGAGCAAGGCTTCCTGTTACCCGCTACTCATCGACCCTCAAGGCCAAGGCAAGATTTGGATCAAGAACAGAGAAGCCATGAATGAACTTCAGGTCAGTTATATACAATGCAAAACGTTAATGGCAACAGTGGATCAAATTCTAATAACTGTCTTCTTCATCGGAATAAGTCATGATCCAAGGAAATCGTGGTGGTTACCAAGATGTGCTGTGAGCCGAAGTAACTGTTTTAAATCACCAGTAAATATTGTTTCTCGTATTAATCTCACCATTATCTTCCAGAAGTATAACTAACTATATGAATTTCAGTTAATGTGTTTATCACAAGTAGCTGTATGGAAAGTTAGTTTGAGTAATGGTCGTCAGCAACTATACCAGTTAGATAACTCTTTCCCTGCGACTTCCGCATTTTATAGTTTTAGTCTGGCTTCCGCCAAACGATTTTATTCAGCATGGGGAAATCACCAGCAGCCAAAGGGTTAATAGTGACCGTATATTGTGACATCCTCTACTTGCAGATCTCCTCCTTGAACCACAAATACTTTAGAGCCCACTTGGAAGACTCACTCTCACTGGGTCGGCCTCTGCTGATCGAGGACGTCGAGGAGGAACTTGACCCCGTCCTCGACAACTTGCTGGAGAGGAACTTCATCAAGTCTGGATCCATTCTAAAGGTAAAACACGAGTGAGGTACTGTACGTATTTTACCCAACGCTTGTTAAAGAATAGTTGTGATACACCAATCTGCACAACACCAGAATTTTGCCAGTTCAATCAGAGTAACATATTTATTTCCGTGTGATATGGGTAGGATTTATTCATGTTTAACCTAAGAAGGAGCACGGTGATAGAGTGAATACCGAGCTCGCGTTCTATCCTAATGATCGCTGGGTCATGCCTGATGCACCCCAGTTGACGCTACTGTGAATGGGTATCAAATTTCGTGGTTGGAAAAGTGACGGTGGTCGAGTGCAATGCCGACCACATTGTATCGTAGTGTCAATCAATCAAAGTACTATCGTCATACTTGGGGGTTGGCGACCACAGCCCTTCACTCTAAACGTTTTCGGGCTGTTTTGACCAAACCCCCAAGATATTACTATTAACCTCAAAATATATTCTTATATCAAGTGCACATGGCCTGAAAATGACCATGATATTGGTCAGATTTCAAAACATTTCAGGGGCTTACAGCCTCTCCCCCTCCCCCCACCCAGGTAAAACCCAGCTGGATGGGTTCGCTGTACTCGCCATATTCCCCTATCCACAACTTCTTGGAACCTCCACCCCCTTTGATATTCCTGGATCCGTCCCTGTCATTTTCCTCTCATCCCACATTATGACCAAAGTACTTCATTGTTTGCTTTCCTGTCAGTGTAACTTATCTTTTAACATCTGCATATATCACCACATTTCAAAGCCTCTAACCTCTTTCTGACCACGAGAGGCCAGGATAGAAGGATGCATTCACAAAGGGCCTCTACATAGGTCATCGACAGGCCCCTCACACTGACCTGATAGTTAACCATGTTCCCTAAATAATAAGTCCCTCAACAAAATTTTAAAAGAGGGAAATACTGTTAATGTAAATTTTTTAAAATAAATTCGGTTATAATATGGAAAAAATAGTTTTAATTTGAGGCATACGCTATGTGCTTCTGTGCTCAGCGGCCTTATGGTGGAAACTGAGCCAAGATTTTATTTTTTTTCCTCAGTTCGTCCACTTCGTTAGTCGGAGGGAGTGAAGCATCAGCTTGTTTCAATTTGTTTTAATAGGATGTGGTCGTTTTTTATATAACGGACTAGCAGATTCGCCGCCCGGCTCTTTCGCTAGGCCACGGTAGGACGCCACTGTAGTGCATTAAGGTAGACCACATTTTTTGTTTTGCCATGAGCAGCAAGCATGTAACAATTTTTGCCAGTTCCCACTCTGGAGCATCCAACATAGAACTGTCCATGAGAGAAGCAAGGAAACACCAGGTTTAGGCCAACCATCTTTAGGGACTGTCCCTGGCTTTTGTAGATGGTCATGGCAAAGCTCACTTTAACCGGGAATTGAAGTCGCTTGAACTCAAATGGCAGGTCAGTGGTGATGAGAGGTATCCTTGGTATAAAAACGTCCTCTCCTTTAGCTTTTCCTGTCAGTATTGTAGCTTCCAGTACATGTGGCATCATGTTCTTCACCACCAGTCTTGTGCCATTGCAGAGGATTGGTGGCTCAAGATTTCTTAAGAGCATTATAGGAGTTCCAATCTTGAGAGTGAGGTGGTTAGGAGGCATTCCAGCGGGCTCCAAAGAATTAAGGAATTCTGCAGGGTACTGGACTGCTTGGTCCTGGTCGATTACTGTATCAACAGATTTGAATGATGTCTCACTGCCTGGAAGCTGTCTGAGTAGAGTCATAGGACTGGTGTTGTAATGGACGTGTAGTACGGGCGTTGTAGTGAACGTGTAGTAGTATATATAAGGATACAATTACCTATAATACGTGGGATGTGATACGACTTTCAACCTCTGTGTGGTTTAACGGGTCGGGTCTGGTTGGGTGTGTCGGATCGGGTTGGTTGGAGTTTTTTTGAGATCCCCACATGATACTTGCTATCCATGCCAAGTTTGGTCCGAGCGGCTCATTTGCTAGGCCACGGTAGGACGCCACCCTCCGGGAGGCTACACATTGTCTCACTGTTCAGTCCCCAAAACTTCTTCTTCCATAATAGTTCATTAACGGTGTATGTAAGTTCCACTACAACGGTACAGCAAAGGATATTTTTTTAGCATTAAACTGTTATTATTTTATAGTCTAATCATCACTACATATAACACTATCCATCATCACTACATATAACACCATCCATCATCACTACATATAACACTATCCATCATCACTACATATAACACCATCCATCATCACTACATATAACACCACCCATCATCACTACATATAACAACATCCATCATCACTACATATAACACCACCCATCATCACTACAGATCGGGAAAGTAGTTTCTGAGATTCTCGTGCGGACACACAAACAAACAAACACACACGCAAACAAACAGACATACGTCTTTGTTTTATATAGATAGATATCCGCAAATTACCATACGGCGCTGACTGGTCCATTGGCTCCACAAATCAATCAATCAATCTAAGTATGTCATCTTCACCTTAAGAGAAGAAAAGGTTATACGTTGTGAAGACGAACAATGAGAGCAACATAATACTTGGATGTGAGATTTTCGTGTAAAGCGAAGGAACTGGATAAATTAATAAAGAACGATATAACAAGTGGTACAGTACTTGCGAATTTGACGAAAATGTTGAGAAATAAATCATATACAGTATATAAGGGCGTCAATGTGTTCCAGGTGGTGGTGGGAGACAAGGAGTGTGACGTGATGCCAGGATTTATGTTGTACATCACCACCAAGCTATCCAACCCAGCCTATGCCCCGGAGGTCTCTGCTAAGACCGCCATCATAGACTTCACTGTCACCGTCCATGGCCTTGAGGATCAACTTTTGGGTGGGTTAACGTGCTTGTATACCTGGTTCCTAGTATTTATCTCTTGAGTATGAGAATCCTTATCCTTTGAGTACAAGACCTAACCCCTTGAATACGAGGACCTAACCCTTTGAGTGCAAGGATCCTGTGTCCCAGTCCCTTAGTAGGAGCCCAAAATCTTCGTATTCAGAGCTAATTTATCAACTAGTTTGATATATACTTTAATGTTTGTATGTTGTGTGTCTGTGTGTGTTCTTGAACATCACGGATAATGTAATGCACTCGTGGCTCTTCACTAAATGAAAAAAAATTTTGCCCTGCATAGGGGCAGTAAACAGAGGATCCTTGGAACTCATGGTAGGTATTCGTTTATGGAGAAGTTTTGGATGTGATATACTTTACTGAATGATTTCTTGTTCTTATTACCATAACTAGAGGTTGTCTCGTGTGGCTTTTGTTTTATAGATTACTCAATTGTAATGTATTGCAATGTATCGTATTGTAGTGTCTATCATATTAAAATGTACTGGATAAGAAAGTATGACATTGCCTACTTATATGTTATTTGTTATTGTATTGTATCATACCGGGACTGCGACAGGTCGGGTGATACGGACGGAGAAGAGCGAGCTGGAGAACGAGCGTTTGGCGCTAATTGAGGAGGTGATGGAGAACAAGAGGAGGATGAAGGAACTTGAGGACAACCTCCTCTTCCGCCTCACATCAGTACAGGTCAGTGATCGACGAGTGTTACACGGGTGGTGGAAATGTTGTACGCCTGGCAGAGGTGTCAATAACAACAGATCAAGTAGACAACATTAATACAGTACAGTATCCTGTTTCATAAAATGACATCATCACCATCATCGCCGTTTTATGACAAATTTCTACGCAGGCATTACGGCTGGACGCACTCCCTATTACTAACCCACTTACACTGAGTGAGAACCGGATATTATATTATATATAGGACTTCTACTCAAGATTTTAACTCTTTATTTTTTTAATACTTCTCATCATTTCATTCTCGTATGATTATGGATTTATAGTCACAACTGTTTAAACACGATGAGAAATATTCATCAATTCACTCACTACCAGGAGGTAAGAGTGACTATCAATTACTGAGTAAAGGAAGGTAAAGTTGACGTGAATATTGTTGAAAAGTTTTGTCTCACACAACATCTTCGTCATCGTAGTTGTTGCCACACCAATGGAGAAGAATGATCATTAACCTTTATCTATTCTGTTAACTGTTCAGATGAGCTGCTTATACAATGTGTTCTTGAACCCTAATGTCGAGGAACACTCAAATCCTCTAATGTTGTTGTCCAGGGCTCTCTGGTTGACGACGAGGACCTCATCATGGTGCTGCAGGACACCAAGTCAACGGCGCAGGATGTGAGCACCAAACTACAGATAGCTTCAGAGACGGAACGTAAGATTAACGGTGCCCGCGAGGAGTACCGCCCCGTGGCCACCCGTGGCTCTATACTCTACTTCCTCATTACCGACATGGCCGCCGTCTCCTGCATGTACCAGACCTCCCTCAGGCAGTTCCTCATACTCTTCAACTTGTCCATGACCAAGTAAATATTATCAGTGTTTTCTTCTTTAGGGAGGTATTGGTGATCAATGTTTATTATCAGCTGTGTTAATGAACAGAGGACAACGGAGAAGTCGTACCATCTCTCTTACAAGGCAGGACCAAGTGACTGCCTATCATTCATGTCCATCAATAAGTATTTGGGACACTCTCTCTCTCTCTCTCTCTCTCTTTGAAAAGCCACACTAACAAATTTACAGTTAATGCAGCAACAACACATACAGACCAGAGGCCCCTTACTTTACTATCAATATTAGTTAGCGAATGAATTACTAGAATAGATTTGACTGTAAGAAACTAAATATATTACATCCAGGCAAGAGGAAGTCAAGGGAACTTGTAAAGAGTCCAGCAACGATGCTAATTTGCGAACCCGAAATAGTCAGGTAGAAACTAGGTTGCCCCGACTGGGAATGGTCAAACAATATTAGTGGCGGTCAGAGCAGTTAACCCGTCGTCAACGCACCACGCCTACATTTTGTTCAAGGTATCCACTCAGCCGTGATGTTACTTGACAACTCCAGTTACCTAGCTTCTGAGTGTACTGTACACTGTGATAACATAATGCTATACAAAATCATTACATGTTTCTGTTTTCTCGACTGTTAAGACATATATTTCTCTTATTTAAAACTAGCCTCGACTATTTCTGTATTTAGTGCAAACATTTAGACCAGTCTTTAAATAATAACATTAATATTCATCCCAAATTAAACATTGTCATACACTCTTCATTTATAAATCTTGGTGCAATATTCTCCATAATTTTGGAAACAATTGCCGATGTTATAATATATTCGTCGACATATTCACTGCCAGTATTTTGTTAGGTAACATACTGTAGTATAGTGTAGCAATATGTACAGTAAACTCCTAGTATGAAATCTATTATAAGAAAGATTTTGTTTCATTATATTAATGATGGATTGACTTTTGTCTGTGTTTACAACATAAGTACTGCTTAGGGCTTCGTTGCTAGTATCAAATCTACATGAGGCTTCACTTACCGTGATGTTCCCTGACAACTGTAGCCCAAGTTATACATGCTTCTGTAAATAACGGTCACTGAGCCTCTTGTGACGTGGGTGTGGATATCGCACCTCCCACATACCCTGACAATACTCACCTTCTCCTGTAGGTCGGACCGCAGCAATGCCCCCAAGACGAGGATCGCTAACATCATCAGGTACCTAACACATCAGGTGTGGAGGAACACTTGCCGTGGCTTCTATGAATGTCACAAGTTCCTCTTCACGCTCCTGCTGGCCATGAAGATTGATCTCCAGTGCAGCCATATCTCTCACGACGAGTTCATGAAGTTTATTAAAGTGAGTGTTTTTTACGTAAACGATTTTTAAGTATATGTTAAATCTTATATGAGTCATATATATATATATATATATATATATATATATATATATATATATATATATATATATATATATATATATATATATATATATATATATAATGATCTCTGTGGGAACATCTTAGATACCTAGGTAATACATTTGAACTTCTAAAATTAGAAAGTAGACATTAGCATATTAACACTGGGTCTGAAATGGTGTGGTGTACATATATAGGGTGGTGCCTCTCTGGACCTGAAGGCGGTGCAGCCTAAACCCTTCCGCTGGATCTTGGATATCACTTGGCTCAACCTGGTGGAGCTGAGTAAACTGCCGCAGTTCACCAATATTCTCGACCAGATCACTGAGAACGAGAAGGACTGGCGACAATGGTTTGAGAAGGATAAACCGGAGGAGGTATGTGATCTTGGTTGTAGAATGATACGTGTCAAGGAACTGGGTGTACGGTGCATTTCTGATGCCCCACGCCTGTTGAAATTAAAACAACTCGTTTGTACAAAAAAAAGTTAATTATCTTCTATGCCATTTCTGTGACTCAGGGTAGGAATGTATGTTGCGATAAAGCGACTTTGAGGCTATTCTTTTGTGGCCACATCCACCTTCCACTAAAATGGAGTTTCTTGTGTCAGGGCTACACCGGTTCTGTTCATGGTGAAAATAAATGAAGTGTGTGGGTCATTATACTGTATGGTTGTGGTAATTAATTTCACCAGTCTTGGCTGGCTGTGGGTAAGTATAACACTAACACTGGTGCTGGTGGTGATAGCGTCGTGTTACACCACAGGAGGAATTGCCGATTGGTTACTCTCGCTCCCTGGATATGTTCCGCCAACTGCTGCTCGTCAGGTCTTGGTGCCCTGACAGAACAATCTCCCAAGCCCGTCGCTACATCCGTAGTAAGTATACTGCTGTCTGTGTTGATCTGTCCTCAGGGGGTACGTAGATAGGCAGAGAAAACGGGGTAAATAAGAGAGAGAGAGAGAGAGAGAGAGAGAGAGAGAGAGAGAGAGAGAGGGTGAGAAGAGAGTGGATCTGTGTGAGTGAGAGATATGATTGTGGATGACAGAGCATGAGAAAGTAAGAGGGAGAAAGAATTGAAGTGATAAAGCGAAAAAGAGAAAATGAAAAAGAGATACAGGTAGAAAATTAAGCAAATATAATAAATTCTAAAGAGTGAAAAATAAATTGAGGGACAAGAAAAATAAAGAGAGAGAGAGAGAGAGAGAGAGAGAGAGAGAGAGAGAGAGAGAGAGAGAGAGAGAGAGAGAGAGAGGAATGCGCTAGGGGTCATACCAAACTTTCTCCTCATACCACTTATAGGTAAAAAAAAGAATCACTTCTTCGCATCATCTAATATGTATTTAAACACGTCTCCCCTTACGCTATCATCACAGGTGCACTTGGGGAGCAGTACGCAGACAGTGTCATTCTGGACCTGGAGGCCACTTGGGATGAATCAGACAACCGGACTCCACTTGTCTGTTTCCTTTCTCAGGGGTCTGATCCGTCCGGCCAGATCGAAACACTTGCCAAGGCTAAAGAAATAGGTGAGTGAGTGAGTGAGTGAAGTGGTGTGAGTGAGTGAGTGACGTGGTGTGAGTGAGTGAGTGAAGTGGTGTGAGTGAGTGAGTGAAGTGGTGTGAGTGAGTGAGTGAAGTGGTGTAAGAGTGAATGAGTGAAGTGGTGTGAGTGAGTGAGTGAAGTGGTGTAAGAGTGAGTGAGTGAAGTGGTGTAAGAGTGAGTGAGTGAGTGAGGTTGGAGAAAGAGTGAGTGGGAGAGTGAGAAGGTGGTTGAGTGAATGAGAGAGGGTGAGTAAGTGGCTCTGTTTCGTCTGTACCACACCTATTGTTATTCATCAACCTTTGCACTGACTCACCCCTGTATATCATGGCACCTCAAACACATTGACTCATCATCCACAATATTAACTCTTCTCCATTTATTGTATATGTGTGCAGCTATTCTTGCACCCGTGTTTGTGTCAGTAGAACCACCCGTGTTTGTGTCAGTAGAACCACCCGTGTTTGTGTCAGTAGAACCACCCGTGTTTGTGTCAGTAGAACCACCCGTGTTTGTGTCAGTAGAACCACCCGTGTTTGTGTCAGTAGAATCACCCGTGTTTTTGTTAGAGGACATTGTTCAACCTGCATACTGTAGGTAACTTTGCATCTACTCATGGTGTGTGTGAGACTTAACCCTTTTCTACAATAAACTTTACATGATCCTTCAGTAGAGTGGATACTGTAAAGGGTCTATTTTCTAAGGTGTATAATGTATAGGCTCTTTATTTTATTCATTACTGATCAGCAAACCTTAAAGGTTTGGTCAGTATATTTTATCCTTTGTGGGTACACAGCTGTCTAAAAATGTATTCCCACCTACTTCCACCCCACTTAAAGACAAATATGTCAGACAAAAAGAAATGGAATTATCAATAGTTTACAGGCTATCAGTGATAGGCCAAACCTTCACAGACAATAAGTTTGTCCCGCCTCCAGAGATCAGGTTCATATCGATGGGTCAAGGACAAGAGGCTCACGCCAGACGTCTATTGTTGGAGGCGATGGCGGCGGGTCGGTGGCTGTTGCTACAGAACTGTCACCTCAGCCTTGAGTTCTGTCAGGAGATGCTCGACACCATCACAGAGTCCAGCAACGTCCATAAGTGCTTCCGCCTCTGGATCACCACCGAGGTCCATGCCGCCTTTCCCATCGGCCTCCTTCAGGTAACGAGAATGAGGAATGTGTTTTGCATATTTTGTATAATAACTATTATAATACAAAGCACACACACACATGTATATATATATATATATATATATATATATATATATATATATATATATATATATATATATATATATATATATATATATATATATATATATATATATATATATATATATATATATATAAGTAAAGTAGAATTATTTACTGCATATAAGTTGCTAAAAAAACTATCTTTACTGGGGGGATCGATGAATTTCACAAGTAGCACTACGACTACTGTTGTTTCGGTGGGGTTGTCAAAATTCTCCGTTCGTTGTGTCATATTGATTAAGATAATTATTCTAAAGATAGTTTTTTGATCGACTTGATATACTATAGACCTAGTGCTGGGTTCTGCAACCTGTATGTACTAGTCAGCCACATTACAAACAATAAATCAGTAATCGGTCACAGCCACCACACAGTGTAGTAGTTAGGTAATTTTAAGTATTAAGCTCAGTAGTAAAATAAAATATGAAACTGATCATTAAGCAATCCAGTATTGAACTAAACTGTATATATTAAGACAATTACTAGTATGTAGAAAAAAATACCCAACTGGGTGACGACAAATTTTAATGTAACATAAAATTATATTCCATATTTAACTTTACAGAGAAAATGGTTACTAAGACTCATATGAGGTTGGAGACTGAATATGCTCTGTGATATTTATGAAATTTGGTTGAAAAATAGTATAAGACACTTCCACAAATTCCTTTGTGCGAGTGTTAATAAAGTGTGTTTCTTACATAAGTGTTCTGGCAACAGTAGGTTGACCCAAACATGTAAGTGCTTTGAAATTAGTCGTTTTAATGTTATCTGTTGCGTGTTTTTTTTTTTTTTTTTTTTGAAGTCTAACAATGAATCGGCGGTTTTGTGAATGAGTTTCAGGATATTAATCTGCAGGTCTTGGAGCCACAAGTGTGCATTAGCAAGATTTCCCTCATCAATACATGACTGACAATGGCTGACCTTGTCTGCTTAATTAAAAAAAGGTTTGAAACAAATGAGAACAAAATTTTCTTTCTCTGATTTTCTTAAAAAAAACATTTGTGAATTCCGATTGTAATCATCACAAGCATTTATGTACTCGTGTGTGTGTGTGTGTGTGTGTGTGTGTGTGTGTGTGTGTGTGTGTGTGTGTGTGTGTGTTTTGTCAGCTACCAGGTATAATGTGTCCCAGTCTTACAAGGTGTATCAGATTAGGTGTTTGCTGCATCAAGTATCCAAACAGACTTTATCAACTAGGCCGGCTACTCATCACATAATTTGCATGCCATAATTCCGGCTACAAATTTCAATTTTCTAGCTGCAGGCGCCCGGAAATATGAGGGGTTGGAGGGTTGTGAACCTCTGACTTAGAGGAAGTATATGAGAAAGTGAAGAAAAGTGGGTTTTAGCTCTTTGTGATGCACCTACTAATGTAACAAAGATGGTAATGATGATAAATATAGTAGTGATTTCGCCACAGATCTCCATCAAGTTCACCAACGAGCCTCCACAGGGTATCCGGGCCAGCCTCAAGCGGACCTATACAGACGTCTCCCAGGTCAGCAACCATAACGCCTGTGTCCTCATCCTACAATATGAGGGCACCTCCTCCACTTAACAGATATTTATCATTCATACTCATTGCTCTTTTTTCTTTTATTCGGGGAATAGCTCACCCGGGTACAGGTCATCGACCCACAACGGGGCCTGGGGGGCGAAAAAATAAGAGAAAATGAAATAAAAAGTAGAAAAGAAAAAATATTATATTAATCTACACCAGCTTTTTGAAGTGAGACAGATTGTATGAGTATGGAAACACAGAAGGCAGAGCATTCCACAGTTTGACTGTGTGAGGAAAGAAGGGTGTACTATAACAGGTTATTCTAGTGTGACCGATATCTACAGAGAAACGGTGGGCACCGCGGACAAGACAACTGTTACGAGCCCACGGCCTTGCTGGCGGTACACAGGATGCCAAATCCACCGAACATTGCCCGTTAAAGTACCTGCAAAAAAGAGAGATATATATTCCATTAAAATAGTTAATCCCTCTCTCTATGAGTAATTATGTCATGGACTTTCCTACTTAGTATTCTATACAGTATAATGAAAAGACGCATTCTAGTCCTGATAATATATCCTCCATGGCTCCCAGGATATCCCCCACATCCTTCACTCCCCTGTAGGCACGACCCTCGTACATTCGTCACTTCTGTTGCACCACCACAGCATCACCACACACACCCTACCACAACTACAGCTTTAACCACTCCAGCACTGCTATGATCATTATACTCTCAACTTCACCACTCCTACAATACCGTAGTAATTAAAAACTCCACCTAACCACTTCTACACTACCACAGTTAGCATACACCACCTATCCACTTCTACACTACCACAGTTAGCATACACCACCTAACCACTTCTACACTACCACAGTTAGCATACACCACCTATCCACTTCTACACTACCACAGTTAGCATACACCACCTATCCACTTCTACACTACCACAGTTAGCATACACCACCTAATACTTCTACACACCACCACACAGTTGCGCCACCACCTATCCATACACTACCACAGATTGCTTTTCACTATCCTTCTACACTACAGTTAGCATACTACCACCTATCCCCACTTCTACACTACCACAGTTAGCATACACCACTATCACTTCACCGCTACCATAGTTAGCGTACACACCTAACACTTCTACACTACCACAGTTAGCATACACCACCCTATTCACTTCTGCACTACCACAGTTAGCATACACCACTAACCACTTCCACACTACTACAGTTAGCATACACCACCTATCCACTTCTACACTACCACAGTTAGCATACACCACCTATCACTTCTACACTACCATAGTTAGCATGCACCACCTAACCACTTCTACACTACCACAGTTCGCATACACCACCTATCCACTTCTACACTACCACAGTTAGCGTACACCACCTAACCACTTCTACACTACCACAGTTAGCATACACCACCTAACCACTTCTACACTACCACAGTTAGCATACACCACCTATCCACTTCTACACTACCACAGTTAGCATACACCACCTATCCACTTCTACACTACCATAGTTAGCATACACCACCTAACCACTTCTACACTACCACAGTTAGCATACACCACCTAACCACTTCTACACTACCACAGTTAGCATACACCACCTAACCACTTCTACACTACCACAGTTAGCATACACCACCTACCCACTTCTACACTACCACAGTTAGCATGCACCACCTAACCACTTCACACTACCACAGTTCGCATACACCACCTAACCACTTCTACACTACCACAGTTAGCGTACACACTAACACTTCTGCACTACCACAGTAGCATACACCCACCCTAACCATACCACACTACCGCAGTTAGCATGCACCCACCTATCCACTTCTACATTTACAGTTAGCATACACCACCTATCACTACACTACCACAGTTGCTTTTACCACTAACCACTTCTACACTACACAGTTGCGCCACACCACCTATCACTTCTACACTACCACAGTTAGCATACACCACTAACCACTTCTACACTACCATAGTTAGCATACACCACTATCACTTCTACAGTACCACCAGTTAGCATACACCACACCTATCCACTTCTACACTACCATAGTAAGCGTACACTCCACCTAACCACTTCTACACTACCACAGTTAGCATACACCACCTAACCACTTCTACACTACCATAGTTAGCGTACACCACCTATCCACTTCTACAGTACCACAGTTAGCATACACCACCTAACCACTTCTACACTACCATAGTAAGCGTACACTCCACCTAACCACTTCTACACTACCACAGTTAGCATACACCACCTAACCACTTCTACACTACCATAGTAAGCGTACACTCCACCTAACCATTTCATTTTTCCAACTTTTGTGGCCTGAGATCCAATTTTTCTTCTGTGCAGCACCATCTATAAACCTCTTTCCCCGATCTCTTGCTACTATCAGAACTTCAACTGACCAAAGGAGTTTCACCCAAACCTTTTCAAGCTTCCAACTGCAACCTTTATACCTCTTTCCGTTCTAATGGAAATGTACACGCCTACTGCAATACATGTAGTACACCTGGGTGAGATGTCAGGGCTATCTAACTTGCAGGCACCTGTTTGAACTAACTGCTATTCCACTGCCGACACCTTTGATGCAGTTTAGGAAGATGTCAGGTAATCCCACGGCTTGACATCTTTGATACAATTGTAGATTATTGATAGGTGGAATCGCCACAGGTGTCCACTGTTGTATTTGTAGTTATCTCAGCTTGTATACAATACCAAATAATTGTACATTCATTACTACGCCAATATAACTAGAAAATTATCACGTGTGTTTATAATTATTAAGTCGAGGAACAACGAGTGAACAGAAAACTACAAATGTGTCTTGTGTAACTTGTAGCTTTGTGTTCACTTGTTGTTCCTTGGCTTAACATAAATTCACGTTTTACTGTCGTATAACTTTTTTTCTTAAAACTCCCCTATAACGCCACATTTCAAAGGCCTTTAACCTCTCTTTCTGGCGTCTGTTGAAATGTCCTTGCTTCTGCCCCCATACAAAAGTCCTGTCCGTTTATTGGCTTTCAGCTGCCCTTTTCTTAATTGAAGTTAATTTCCCTTTTTATTAGATCTTTTAGATTATTAAAAGCCGTTTTTGCTTTACCTAATCTTGATCTGATTTCTCCCGTACATCTAAGATCACAGCTAATGTTACTTCCCAAATACATAACATTTTCCTCTTGTGTTATTTCCAATTTCGAAACCACCATTACTTTCGTTTTTACAGCATTAACTCTTAGCCCATATTTCTCACCTTTTTCCACTAGTCTGTTAACCAATTTTTGTAACGCCTCTTCACTCTCAGTGGTAAGAACAGTATCATATACATAGGGTTTATTTGATATTACTTGACCATTAACTTTTATTTACTTCATTGTTACTTACAACACAGACTTGTCTTACTCCCCGTTTGACTTCGACAGTAAATATCTTATACCTCCTTCATTAATGCCTATTTTTTCCATTGTCTCTGTAAGTTTATTTTTTTCAAAGGCAACAAAGTTTATATACAAATCTCTTTGGATCTCTAAAGCTCTTTCACTCAATATTCCCAAACCAAATATTGCTTATTGTTACGAACCCTCCACCCCGCACTCACGAACCACGCCATCTATTGTCCTGATCTACCTACCCAGCACCACGAGCAACGCCATCTAGGGACGAGACACGAGTATGACTCGTCTTAGTTACCACCTCGAGGTTTCCCCTCTCCCTATCCTGGTTGTTGCGTCACCTCCTCAGTCTTTGTCAGCTCCAATTCGTGGCGAGAGCACTTGCCTGGGAAGGACCACAGGATCATCTATCCTCTAAACCTACGTGCAGTGACTACTTCACTTCTCACAATACCAGCCTTACTCGTCAGCCATCTCAGCTCCCTCACTTAAGTACTATTATCTTGTATTAATTTCCCCACGTCCACTTGCTTCGAGATTGTTTTATGTTTATTAATATGTATATACTCGTTAATGTTTAGGTTAAGTTTGGTTAAAGTAATTTATGTTGAATATTTTGTTAAGGGATTTATGGTAATTTCATTATATACAACGAAAACTCGCATCCTTTGTCTACCCCTTTTATAGTTCGATTGTCTTGTTTTTTTTTTTGTTACCTGTTGGGATCTGTAGACGTATAACCATATTCTAAACTCCAACTCGTAACACCTATTCAGTTCCTTTTCCTTTCTAAATCCATTTTGATCTTCAGATAACTCATTGTCTACTTTAAATTTTATTATACTTAAAATTATAGATTAATATTATTAGCTCAATTTTCTAAACTGGATGCACTCTCGAGTCCTGGGTTGTTAGGTAATAATATAATTATTGTTTGTTTTTTAATCATAGAAGATATCCTTTTGAGTATAGAGACTTAAAATTTTTAGTCAATCATTTGATCTCATTTTTCCCCATTAGCTTTATAAGTTCTGCTGGGAAGCTCATCAACCTTCCAAGCTTTGTACTTTAAGCTTTATCATTTTTTATTTTGCTCCAAGTGCCTCAATTTCTGACTCCAGAATTGGGAGTTTGTCTTTGCTATATTTTCGTTTCTTTCCTTCCCTCTTTATCATTGTATAGTTCTTCTACATACTCTTCCCATCTCTCATTTACCTCTTCTACCTCAAACAGGATCTTATTCTCTTTGCTTTTTAATTGTCCTACCCCATTTATTTCCTTTTTCCGGTTCATTTGTTTAATCTTTCTGTGGTATGTACAAATTACACAGTACTTGTTCATATTCTCAGTTTACACGCACAGTATACCATGTGAGTCTTTAATCTCCTACAATACACTCATAGTGCTTCATATTTGTTTGTTTTTATCAAACTCTTAATGGGAGCAAATTTTATATCCCTCCCCTACAGGAATTGCCTAGCTTATACTACAGGTCGTCAAAGGGCGACTTAATTGAAGTTTATAAACAACTCGGAGGGCATTACTCAGTCGAGGGTTCATACCTGGAGCTAGGACGTGCCCCCCTATGGGGCGGGTGGTCACAGCTTATGGTTGAAGAAGCCACAAGTTCGGAAAATTGTCAA